ACCTCTTTCTGCTCAAAGTGGCCTTTTCAGGGGCTCATCTCAAGGCCGCGGCCTCGGAAACAGAGGCTGGGCCGTCCCGTGCGAGCCATCGACTCCTGCGTGGTCGGAACGCAGGCTCACGGGGTCCTCGGGCAGCGCTGGCCCGCGACCGGTCTGAGCCGTCCCCGCCCACCTGGGACAGCCAGCCTTGCCCGCCGCTTGGACAGAGCTCCGGAAGGAGGCGAATTAGCCCGGAGGATCTGACGTGAAAGAGGGACGCTGAGCCCCAGGCCACGCCACCTCCGGGGCCGGCCCTGCAGCCTCCAGCGTTGGGGCGGACCCCGGGGCCGGCCGGCCGTGCGTCCACTCCACAGCTCGTCCCTTCGACCAGCGGACTCAACGGCTTAGTTTTCACCAGAGGCCGGACACGCCGGCCACATCCGAAATCCCACCTTCCGCGGCAGTTTTCCTAAATCAGCCCTTTTCCGACAAGACGCCGCACCGCTGGCCCCGTGGCTCAGCCACCTCGGCCCCGAGGGCAGGTCCTCACTTGCTCTGACGCGGCCTCCCCTTCCCTGCAGGGTGGGGTCGGCCCGACAGCTCTGAGGTCCCACCCTGAGGACCCCGGGAAGCGGCGGCCGTCACTCACCGGGTTCCTGAGTCTGCACAGCCAGTTCTTCCAGAGCAGGGCTCCGAGCTGGCGCCCGGCTGGCCACATGCCCCTCTCTCTGGCTGGGGAAACAGGAGCCCAGGTTTATATCCGCGCGCCCAGGCCGGCCGTGCCCTTCAGTCAATCCCAGCGACAGGGAGTGGCTGCAAGACGGATTACCCGCGCCGCGGGAGGCGGCATCGGGTGTCCCCCCTGCTGCGCCCTCTGCTGAGAAGTCTCACCTTTCACGCTGTGCGGGGTTGGGAGGGTGGGTCGTGGGAAGCAGCCCCCGCCGGCCTCTCCCGCAGCACAGGGGCACGCCTGGCTGAGGCTGGCGCGTGCACGGGGTGCGAGCTCACCCTCCCGCGGCCCTGAGCCCCGCTCCCTTGATGCTAATTGGGTGGGATTCCTCCTCCCTCTCCCGGACCCTCAGCGCTGGGAGACCGTGCGTGGGCAGACTGATGGAAAGGAGATAGACAATGTTGGTCGGAGTGGATGGGGGCAGGGGCTCAAGCTCAAGGTCGCTGTGCTGTCTCACCACCCCCGCCCATACCCCCTCTTCACCCATCTCCCCCAAAGGGCTGGGACCCGTGCGCAGAGAGCGGAAGGGCACATCCGGCGCAGCCGCATCGCGCGGAGGAGCCCCGGGCTGGAGAGGTGGGCGGGGAAGAGGGTCGTGCTGTCGGCCCCTCCCGACCGTCCGAGGCTGGAATCCCGCCCTCGCGCCCCCTGTGAGTTGATTGTGTTCCTCCAGGTGAGACATAACGTGTGATTTCTCTTTACTCCGACGCCGGGAGCCTGCTCCTCGCGGGGGAGCAGCCGGCGGCAGAACCAGAGGCACAGGCGCAAAGCCACGTGGGCGGCGGGACTCAGGGCTGCCCCTCCGGGTGCACGCCCAGCTCTGGGGACGCAACTGTTGACCAGCCGCCCGCAGTGGGCCCCAGCTCCGGTGTCGGCTGCACAGCTGGAAAGGCCCAGTGAGTTCCGAGTGCAGATCCCGTTCGAGCGTGTGTGCGTTTCCCAACAGCAGCCGTCCCGGGCGCTGCTGGGGGCCGACGGCCAGCCCAGGCTCCTGCAAGGGCCGGGCGGGGCGGCCCTTCCCTCGCTTCCCCCGGGGTCCAGGCCACACTGCACCTGGGATGGCATCCGCTTGGCGGGCGCGGGAGAGGCCCAGGGAAACATACGTTTGCGCGGGCATGTTTTCATTTTATTTTTTATTATTGTTATTTTTTATATTTTAATCTTATTTTATTTTTTATTTTTATTTTTATTTTATTTTATTTTTCTTTATATTTTATTTGCCTTCACTTTGGGCCTATTGGTCTTTTAGAACAAAGAACCGGAAACACGGGCTGATATGAATCCCAGTATAAGATAATCAGCAGGTGCAAATGGCAAGATGACGAAGATCCTAAAACTAATAGAGCAGGAGGTTGAAGCGACTTTTCAACGGCAGTCTCTGACGGAAAAGGGAGGCTCACTCAGAAGCCCACGGGCGTTTGTAAAAGTGGCAGTGCTTCCGACCCCCGGGAGCCATGACCGAACAGCAACTTTCAGGGGCTGCGCTGGGAGAGTGCCTCCCCGCTGCCCGCCCCCCGCCGCGCAGGCAGGGATGCAGGGCCTCCTAGAACGGCCTGCATGCAGATGAGGTGCAGGCCAGACCCTGGGGGAGCCCAGACCCTGGGGGCGCCAGGCCTTCCCCGCAGCTGGCCTGCAGCTCCAAGTTCCTGCAGAGGCTGCTCCGGGCCATCAGGGGGGGCCCCGGTTCCCCCTCAGCTGCCCAAGCCCCATCAATGGCCGCTTTCAGAGACTGCATCCACCAGGTCCCCTCGCAACGTGCCCACTCCACGCCAGCGGCAGCTCTCGGACCCCAGATTTAACCCACGTTCCAGCCGGCAGGAGGTGCTGTGACGACAGGTAAGCAGACAGGATGCAGCCCTCGGCCCCCACCTTCCCCAGGACCCTTTGCTCCCAGCAGCCGGTGACAGTCCGCAGTGGAGGCTACAGCGTCCAGCCCCCACGGAGCCACGGGAGCTGCAGGAGGGCCATGTCCCTCGCCGACGTGGACACCACACGCCAGAACTGCATCTTTCAAACGCCCTTTCTTAGGGACGGGTGAAGGCATTGCCCCCGGCGGGTGCCCCCGCCCCGCTCCCGAGGGCCAGGTGTGAGCACGTGTCTACGGCAATCTCGCTCCCCGGTCTGCGGCCGGTGGGCGGGGGACTGACTGGACATTCCCACACAAAGACCCAGCCCTCACCTGCCCTGTAACCAGGGCAACTCCCAGCGTGGGGCTCAGCGGCCTCACCGGCACCACAAGGTGAGAGGTCAGCACAGCGAAGGGACCATTGGCCATTTGGAAAGTGGCACCTGACGCTCACTGGACCCAGGTCAACACAGGAACATGGTTTCCTCGTGTCAGGGTCGCAGGTGACGCGGCCCTGACTTCCTGTCCCGGGCAGTGCTGTCACCGGCGATGACAGTGTGAGAGACACGGGCTGGATCTCCCCGAATCTCGTTATTTCTGCCTCCGGGTACTGAAACGGGTCGTTGGTCCCTCTGCCCGGTCAGGTGGCAGGTGGCGTCGGGACTGGTGGGCGGGGCGGGAATGGGGGCAAGCGCAGGCGGGAAGCGGCACACGCCCACCCTGAACCCTGTCCGAGCCGGCTTCTCCCGCAGCAGCTGCGCCTGCAGCAGCTGCACCTGTGACGTGGGGCACTTCACCTGGGACTTCCCCCCAATTCCAAAGTGCTGGACGATGGTCAGCCGGGGGCCGCTCCCGCACTGGCCTCGTGCAGGGCGTCACCGGAAGGAAAGGCGCGGTGACACAGCTGACCCCGCCCCCCCAGATCCAGCGAGATTCGTCCAGCAGAGCAAACCCAACCCTGTCCCTAATTCTCCCCACTCGCTCAGACAGTGTGGGGGGGGGGGGAGCGAGCTGACATCACGTGGTCCTGCTCAGGGGGTGGCTGTCGGGCGTGGAGGGAGACTCGGGGTGGGGCGGCCAGGCAGGGTGCGGGACGGCAGCCTCCAGGAACCCAGGGAGCGTGTTTGGGGACTTTCCCCGGTCACCTCCAGTCACCCTGGTCACCAGACTAAACTCAGCTGAGCTCAGTGCTCAGGACAGAGGTCTCATGACAGATGAGTGATTGTTGTTATTATCCCATCAGAACGAGCAGCTTTGTCCAGGGGTGCTGCCTGGGTGGGGTGCTGTCCGGCCCCCACGAAGTCCTCACGCAGCCCGCCTCAGTGACACCAGAGGGGCCGGGGACTCAGGAGCAGCCCCAGTGGGACGTGGAGTGCCTTTCCACGCGTGGCCAGCAGGGGGCAGCACAGCCCCACCTGAGAGCCCCCGCATCCGGGAAGCCAGCAGAGCAGTCTGCCCCCAGCACCCTGCACCCCGCACCCCGCCCAGGAGGAGTCCGGCACAGGATGGAGAAGGCACCCGAGGGACCCAGCCCGTCTCCGGATGGGAGCAGCCTCCTCTTCAGCTTAAGGGCCGTCAGGGTCCACGGTCTGTGTCCTCTCTGCCTCGCCAGGGTCCTCTCAAGAAGTGGCGGGGACCCCAGGGCCACACTTGCCTGGGAGGGGTGTGAGGGGCTCCCCCAGGTCAGCTGGGTCCTGGCGGCCCCGCACACGGACCCCACCCTCCAGGGCTGCTCCTCCCGGTCAGCCTCCTGTTGGGGCGCAGCAGGGGGTGCTGAGACCCCCTCCCCCCGACAGCCTCCGGCCCGAGGAGAGGTGGAGCTCTTCAGCACCCAGAGGGACGGTGGTCCCTGCTGTGCTCGGGCTCAGCACACCCTGACCCGCCTGCGTCTGACCCTCGGCTGCCGGTGAGTGTCGGAATCCAGGGACCACACCTGCCACACCAGGGTCCCGACCCTTCCCTGCCACCGGGTCACGCAGCTCACTGCCCGGGCTGAGCGGCAGGACGCGGCCCCAGCACCCACCCAGGGCACACAGGACCGAGTACCCGAGAAAGGCCTCCGGCGGGCGTGCCGAAGGTGGAGCGTTCGAATCCACCGTCCCGGGGCCTGCCCCAGACCCGTCCAGCCGCAGGGTGGAGGGTAGGCGGGGATCACGGCAGTTCCAGGGCTGACGCAGAAGGTTCCGGGGACGTGGCTGTTTGTGACTCAGGAACTGTGCAAGACACTTGACCCTGGACCCCCGCCACGACCACCTGCACTGCTGGGAACCCGCCTGCAGCCCCCCTGCCTCGCCGGCTCCCAACACCAGGGGCCCCTGAGCAGCGTGGGCCTGAGCGGCACAGGGAGTCACTGGGAAACCCCGCATCTGCGTGGACCTCACAGTGCGAGCCGGCACGCTTGGCCGTCTCCCCTCCCCCCTCGAACAGAGTGTGCAGGGTCACAGCAAGGATCTGGGCGGGACTTTATTTGCAGCACCAAGGACGCTCATTGTCGAGACGTGAGGACTTCAGGCCATCCCCAGCCGCTTCTTGATGAAGTGGGTGACCAGCTTCTGCGGCCGCTGCTGGTACTCCACCAGCACCTCGTGGGGGCTGCTGACCTGGTCCCCCTGCAGGCGGTCGAGTAAGGTGACGCACACCACGGCCGCTGCGGAGAGTGAAGGCCAAGTCAACCCAGAGCGCTGGGCTCCTCCCTCGGCCCACTGGACGGGGACGAGGCCCCCACAGTGACCAGCAGGCGGTGGGGGGGAGGGGCGAATGGGGATCACAGCAAGTTCCAGGCCCTGCTCCTCCGGCTGCCCTGCCCTGCCCTGCCCTGCCCACTCCTCATTCTCTGTCCCTTTGCTTCCAAGAGGCCCAGGCATGTCCCAGGGCCAGCCCAGGGTCTGCACCGCCTTGAAAGGCAAGTGACAGTAACGAGGAAGCAGGAATCCTGGACGGCAGAGCTGGCCCTTCCTTGCAGGGTGGCTAGGAAGGGCCTCGAGGTGGACAAGCCCCAGCCCAAGTCCAGATTGGGAAGCCAGGCCCATCTCGGGGCCTTGGGTGGCCTTATCGCCTCAAAACCTGAGTGGAGTCTGGGGGCCTTCCGGTCACCTTCCTCAGTGCACTGGGTGGCACATGAGTCCTTGCAGAGACACTGAGATTCGGCAATTGGCCATGTGACAATCAAAGGCGGTCTGAGCACAGGGGTGCACCGTACCACCCCGTCCCGGGCAGGCCCTGGGCACAGGGTGGGCTCTTGGGAGGACCAGGAGAGGGTGCCGAGGCTGGCCAGTGGGGCGGCGGCCCAGCGCCCACCGCCCACCTACCTGGGACGCCGCAGGCACTGCACATGGCACCGAGGACGGTCGACTCCATCTCAATGTTGCGGACGCCGGCCGCGTGGGCCGCCCGCAGATACTCCTGCTTCTCTTTATCCGTGTAGGAGCACAGAGCACCGTCCAGGCGGCCTTGGCCTGGGGACACAAGGAGGGGTCCACACTGACACGGCTGCGCTGCCCACAGGGATGCTCTCAGCCCCTCCGGCCCACCTCCGCGGGAGCCCGGACCACCCGCACACACGCGGGCATTACAACCAATGCAGGAACACTGGTGCGGCAGGAGGCGGGGAAGCCCCAGCCCGCAGGGGACCGGCTGCCCCATCGTCACCTTCGTAGAAGTCCGAGGTGCACATGGTGTTGCCCAGGACCGTCGGGATGTCCTTCAGGTCCTTGGAGCACTGCAGCAGCTCCTGCGCCAGCTGCGCATCCAGGACGGGGCTGCGCACGACCCGCTTCCCCAGCACCATCTGCTCGAACTCCGGCTTGAAGCAGGCGTCCACCGCCTGCTGGGTGATGACCACGGAGCCGGGCTCCAGGCCTGAAGGAGGAAGAGGCGTCACGGCCACGCGGGGTGGACAGAGGGTGCAGCCAGCACACAAAGGAGGACGACCCACGTGTGCGGCGAAATGCAGCGGCAGCAGTCCCGTGCTCAAAAGGAGGGGTGAGGGTCTATCTCCCCCTCAAATCCCTGACACTGCGGGAAGGCCGGCCCACGCCTTGCGGAAAACAGAGGAGAAAGGTGCCAAGCAGTAGGAAGGACCAGAAACCTCCCCTCCTGAGCTACCTGTCCTCACTCAGCTCTACTTTCACCTGCCGGGCACGCCGGGACCGCAGTGCGTTTCACCGGCCCCTGTTTTTTGTGCCTTTCTGTTTTGGGAAGATTCCAAGCAAATACAAAAGTGGGCGAGAATCACACAGTGAGCTGTGTGCACCCCAGCCGGGCGGCACCTGGACCGACTCCTGGCCATTGTGTGTTCCTTCAGGGCCGATGCCTTCTTACCTAGATTTGCATTCTCTCCCCCTCCCCCCACCCCCACTGCCCTTGACTTTCCTGCAGGGCTTCCTGTGAGGTGCGTCAGACCCTCGCGGGAGGCAGGTGGGGGAGTGGCGGGAAGGGTCAGTGCAGCAGCGCAGGGGGTGGCGAAGGGCAGAGAGGAAGCCAGCGCACAAGCCGCTCCCCGTGCGCGAGCAGCTGCGTGGCCCAGGGCCGGCCACTGTGGGCTGGACGTGTGTGGGTGGGCGGCCGCTTCCCATGCCTCCTGCTGCGGGGTCCGGGACAGGAGCTCCGGTGCCCGCGCCCACCCTCTGTGGGGGACTGAGTGCGTGCCCCCTCACCACACCCCACGCAGAGGCCACCTGCCCCTCACCTATGCCGCCGGACGTGCCGATGCGGATGATGGCAACGCCGGAGCAGCGCGCGTGGTACAGCAGCTTGAGGAGTTCGTGCAGCATGATGGACGTGGAGGGGATGCCCATCCCGTGCTGGCCCGGGAGAGACGCAGCGTTACAGCCCGCAGCCCCCACGCATGTTCTGTGGGCGCTCCCGCCCGTGGTCCCCGAGGATGCACCTCAACACAAAGGCTTAGAAGAGAGGACACTTCCAGCCCCAGCTGGTGTGGCTCAGTGGGCTGAGCACTGTCCTGAGAACCAAAGCATCGCCGGTTCGATTCCCAGTCAGGGCACAGGCCTGCGTTGCGGGCCAGGTCCCCAGTAGGGGGCGCTCAAAAGGGAACCACACACTGATGCTTCTCTCCCTCTTTCTCCCTCCCTTCCCCTCTCTAAAACTAGAACACTTTGGGAAGCAGGAGAGCTCGCACTGTCCCCATGCAGGGTGAATGCAAGGTGACAGCCAGCCCCACCAGCCCCCCCCCAGGTGCCGACCCCAGGCGCACCAGGCTGGCTTTTCTCTCTCAGCCATGCTGAGTGCTGATCACCCCGTGATGGGCCCCAGGGCGAGGCTCGGTTGGCGGGGTTCTGTCTCGTCCCTTCTGTGCCTCATCCTGTGTTCCCAAGCCCCGCCTCCTGCCCTTCCAGGGCCACCTCCTCCAGGGTGCACCCGGGGCTGCTGCACAAGCAGGTGCTGCTCCTGAGGCAGGGACTCCCGGCCCCACGGGTGCACAGGAAGTGAGGGGGCCTGGACCCTGCCTGAGGGACTGGGGCGGGGGAAGGGCCTGCAGAGCCCAGGGCGGCCACCGGGGGCAGTACTCACGCTGACGGACAGCACAGGGCCCGCTTTGTACATGACGTAGCGGTCGGTCCCCGAGCAGATGTTGGGGTAGTCCTCGCCCGGGCGGCTGAGGCCGAGCTCCGAGCCCACGTACTGGATGAAGGCCTTCATCCGGGAGGCGCTGCCGCCCACACACACGAACTGTGGACACGGACAGACAGACAGCAGGACCGTCAGCCCGGGGGCGGCCCACACCTGCACAGCAGGGCCCCAACCAGCAGCACATGCCCCTCCCGGAACGTGCTAGAAACGCCAGTCCCCTGGCCCTCACCAGACGGATCACACCCAGGGAGGCCTCCTGCCAACTGGGCACTCCCTGGAGTTTGGGGGTCCTGGCCCCCGAGATTCCCGTGTGGGGTAGGAGGCCCTGGCACGGCGCGGCCGCCGGCCACGGCTCCCAGGGACACAGACGCAGGAGCTGCAGGACATGCAGCGGGTTTGCCCCCCGCCCACCAGCCTGCACCCAGCAGGGGGCCGGCGGCTCAGTGTCCTGGCGGCAGCCAGGTGCGGAGCAAGGCGGCGTGGGCTTCTCACCTGTGCGACCAGGGCCCCGCAGCCCAGCTACACAACGGGCTCCTGCCCCCACCTCTCGCCCGGCCGCCCGAGCGCCCAAGGGCCAAGGTGCGGAAAGTGGCAGCCGCGGGGGCGGGGGCGGGGGCAGAGGGCTGAAAGCTTCCGTCTGCGGAGCAGGGTCGGTGAAAGCGCCCTTTTCCTTTTGTCCGACACAAGAAACGCAAGCAAGCACGCCGGGGCGAGGGAGCTGGCTGACCGAAGAACCGCTCGTCTCCGAGGAAGAGAAAGGAAATCACGCTCCCCGGGAGACCAGTCGCGGAGCGAACGGGGAGCAGAAGGGGACGGCGGGGGGCGGAAGCACAGGAGCCAGCGAGCCAGCGAGCCTGCGAGCACGGCGCCGGCGGTCGGAGCCCGGCTGTCGGACCGCGTGTTCCGGTTTCAGGTTCTGAACGCGGCCAGCGCTCGCCCGCGGGATGGGACGTTTCCGGGGGCCTGAGCCAGGACCGGCCGGAGCCGAGAGCCCACACTTTGTGGGGAGCATCGCCGGCGGCTGCGTGCGAGGCCACGGAGGGATCGGTGTCAACGTGCATCTCACACTCTCACACTCACTCTCACACTCACACAGTCACACACACACACATTCTCACTCACACACATGCTGACACTCACTCTCACATTCTCACACACTCACATGCTCACAATCACACACTCTCTCACAGTCACACTCGCACGCACACACACACTCAGTCACACTCGCATGCTCAGTCACACACACTCACACACTGACACACACTCTCACGCTCACGCTCACACACACTCACACACATTCTCACTCTCACTCACAATCACACACACTCACACTCTCACACTCACACACACACCGCAATCACTCTCACTGAGTGCCCCGTCCCCTTTTCTCCGTTCTCTCCATGAGGCTCGGGGACTCACTTCCATCGGCCCCAGGAGACAGTGGGCGGGTGAGAACTCAGAGGGGCCGCCGTGGCGGCGTTTCCACGAGTTCCTCTACTCACCAGCTCCTACCCTTGGACAGTGACGGTGGGGAGAAGCCCACCGTATACCTATCACCTGTGACCCTGCCCTCTGTCGCCCCGGCCCTCTGCGAGGGGGCCACAACTCCTGTCCCCAGGGAGGCGGCCGTGGGGGTAAAAGTCCCCAGAATCGCAGCCCCACTCCTTACCTTCACGTCCCCAAACATGGCCGGGAGGTCGTGCGCGCTGGTGCTGAGGTCCAGGTGGTAGAGGATGTCCTCCTTCATCCCGGCCAGGTGTGGATTGCCAAGATGGATGCCGTGGTCACTGTGCCAAACCAGGGAAGCAGGTCAGCAGAGCACTGGCGCCCGGTGGCCGACGTGGTGACAAAGTGCCCCGCGCCAGCGGGGAGCGTGTGGCGCAGACAGGGAAGGACAGACCCCTGCTGCGAGGCCCCCTCCCCTCGCCCAGGGCCCCGTCTGGGGGACCCACACAGAGCAAGATCCAAAGGTCGGTCACACAGAAAGAGCACGGCCGGTCGCCGCCCAGCTCAAGTCCACCTGGCACACAAACCTGACCTTGTTTTTAAAATAACACACTCGCCACGGACTGCCGTGGCAGCCAGACGCTGCTGGACACCAAGTGTTTTTGGTGTCTTTGCAACCATTTCAGCTTTGCCACGACCACTCAGCTCGGCCACCGTCGCGTGACGGGGACCACGGACAACGTGCACATGCGTGTGGTCGCTGCAGTGACACGGCACTCACAGAACAAACGCCCAGGTCCCAAGCGGGTCTTCCCCTGCAAAGTCCCTGGGAGCAAACCCTAGCCGCGCCTCCTTCCGCACGGAGCCTCCTGACTGACGCCCGCACACGGGTGCTCCCCAAGCCCGGAGCAGCGGGGAGGCCGGCGTGGGCCCCTGGCTGCAGCGACCAGGGCGTCCCGGCTCTTCCTGCTGCGTCTGGCTTCCTGCCCAGAACCCGCTGGAGACAGAAAAGCACGCCAGGGACGACGGTCTCCGCAGCCCGTGACTTGGAAATCCCAGGGCTTCCCGCGGGCCGGCTGGCACGTCCTGGCCGCCGTGCAGCCGCGCCAACGAGCCCCTGGCACAGAGCGCGCCGGCACGCCCGGGAGCCGCTTGCCCGCAGCTCCAGCCCCTGGGGCAGTGGCCTCCTCCTGCGGACCCACGTGTCCAGGGGGTTTTCCGGCATTGCAGCTCTCGCTAAAAACGCACGAGTTTCTGCCAGACAGATGCTGAGGACGGCCACAGCGCCCATGTTTGTTTATTTCCATCTACTTATCGTTGCCTTGGGTACAGGGAGTCTTTCCCGAGAAAACACGCTCTCCGTCGACCTCCAGTAACCAAGGAAAGTAGTTCCGGCCCACACTGAGTGCCTGCTCCGCGCCGGTCCCTCCGCCTATTCGTGCGATGGACACAATCGCTTTTGTTACCTCCGGTAACCAAGTCCCGAAGGCCAGGCCGGGTCTTTCTTGTCTGCGAGTCCCCGGAGCCTACGCAGCCCCAGGAAACCAGCCCAGAGGCCCCGCCTGCCTCACCATCTCTTCCCCAGGTCTGTCCCCGCCCCCATCGGCGTCCTGCTGTGTCTCCAGCCAGCTGGGCGTCAGCAGCCCAGACCGGGCGCCCGCGCCCATGCCCCCTCCCCCTCCTCGCAGGGCATCCAAGCCAACGCACATCTGGACATGTTCAAAAGGCTGACTCACTGGGCTGGCCAAAAAGTCTTTTACATTTTTTCCATAAAACAAAAGGCACATTTTTTCATTTTCACCAAAAGCCCTTTGGATTTGGATATTTGGAGTATGCCGGCTCTCTCCCGCTGTTGGCTTCCAGTGGGGAGGGGCCGGGGGGCTGCTAAACATCTTCCAGGGCTTCAGACGGCCCCACAGCAGAGGACTGTGTGGCCACAATGTCAGGGGTACCAAGAACCTTCGCAAACCACTCCTGACACATTCGATCAGTCACAGCACCTTCTCCACACACTGCACATGTCCTTTTTCCTGCATTTCCACTGCGTCTTTACCTTCCCTTTAATAATAAAGCGTGAAATGCCAAAAGTGTTGCATGTTTCCTTCCATCTTCAACATTGAAATGGCTGCACAAAAATTTACCATTTTTGATAAATGTTTTATTTTTTTCAAAGATTTTATTTATTTTTAAAGAGAAGGGAAGGGAGGAAGAAAGAGAGGGAGAGAACCATCAATGTGTGGTTGCCTCTCACATACCCCCCAACTAGGGACCTGGCCCGCAACCCAGGCATGTGCCCTGACTGGGAATCGAACCAGCGACCCTTTGCTCACAGTCTGGCGCTCAGTCCACTGAGCCATACCAGACAGGGCTGATCATTTTTTTAAAAATGCATGTCGACATGACAGCTGTCACAATACAATCGAACAAAATTGTTTCTAAAGAAGTTAAAGACAGCTCAGCACTACTGTAGCCATCATGGTACTGAAAATAACGTAATGAAGTTTTTGCCCAACCCAATACACAGCTGAGCGCAAAATCCTCAGGAGAGACAGAAAGCTCTTTTTACAAAGGGGAGTGCTGGCTGACAGCCAAAGGCTGGGCTGGGCTGGGCTGCAGACACCTGGAGGTTCGAGCCGGCCATCCCAGCAGGAGCCGGCTGCAGCTGGGCGGACAGCCAGTCACCCCGGGACCTGGGGCCACACCTGTCCACCGCAGCCCCTGCCGGGTCCCGACCGGGCTCCCCGGGTCTCCAGACCAGGCGTGTCCCTCTCTCCTGGGCAGGGAGGCCTCTTCCGCGGGACCAAACCCGGGCTCCTGTGTAACCAGGACGATCCCTGATCTTGAGGCAGAAATGCTGACGTCGCACCACAGCCTCAACACCCCTCAGTGACCACAGCTGCTCACTTGGCCCCGTCCCCGGGAGGGAGACCTCAGGGTGCGGCGCGCACCCCGTCTCGAGAGAAGGGCCACCGGCACCCGGCGGGACCGACGCAGCGGGGTACAGCGACACTGCGTGGTCACACGTTGCGAAACAGAAAACCTTCCTCTTCTCTCTGATTCCAGAAACAGGCGAAGGCCACAGGGTGTGACCGGTGACCGCGACGATGTTGAAATCCTGGGTCGGCCAAAAAGGTCCTTCGGGGTTTTCCAAAGACGGCTCTGGGGGCGCTGAGCTGTCTCTAACTCCATGTGAAACCATTCTGTTAGACCGTGTTGTGACAGCTGTCCTACCAGCGCGCATTTGAAGAAACGTGCCAGAACGGGTGGACTTCTGTGGAACCCTTGTGATCTTGAAGATGGAAGAAGATACGCAACATTTTTGGCAGAGTGCGCTTCACTATTTCGAGAAAGGTAAAAACGCAGCTGAACTGCAAGAAGCGGACGTGGGCAGTGTGCGGAGAAGGCGCTGTGGCTGACTGACCGGCCGTGTCAGAGGCGGCGTGCGCAGCTCCGGCTGGAGATCTCCGCTGGACGGTGCTCCGAGGCCGGGCCGACAGCGGAAGTTGGCAGCGATCAGATCGAGAACCATCAACGTTCGACCACACGAGAGACAGCCGACACCCTCAAAATATCCAACTATATAAAGTTATTGGTGAAAATGAAACCAAATGTGTCCTTTATTTTATGGGGAAAAGACGTCACGGACTCTCTGGCCGGCCCACGAAGTGCACCGTGCCATGACCCCCCAGGATGTGCTCACACGTACACTTTACAAGATTTTCCAGTGGCGAGGCAGAGGTGCGGGACTTGCAAAACAATTTCTCCAGCCCACCCACAAATCAGGTGACTTCCTTGGGCATCGCTGCGTCACGTCACCGAGCGGGGACAGAGCCCCCACTTTCACCGTGAGACGCGGAACGAACGAGAACCGCTCGCTCCCGGCGACCGGCGGGGAGGACGACACACCCCCCACCCTCCTGCAGCCCAGGGAGGGCGCCGTCCCAGGGCAGGGCAGAGGGGCAGCTTGGCAGGTGCAACGTCCACGCAGGAAGTGGCACTAAGACAAGAAGTGTGTGCTGCTCCCGCAAATAACCAGAAAAGAGAATCGCAAAGGAGAACTACGAGATGGCGCAGAGAAGCCCCGGAGGCACGGAAGCTTCAGGACCAAAGAAGAGCAGGGAGAAGCAGGGGCTGAGTTTGGGAGCGTGCCGGGTGTCGGATAAACCCCCCAGGCCTCGACCTGAGCTCTGAGCCCGGGTCCCCCTAGACCGCGTCTCCGGAGGGCCGAGCGCAGGCCGGGCCAGACCAGGTCTCCAGCCCAGCGAGGGCCCCTCCACCCCGGCGGCCGTCCCCTGGGGCTGTCCGGGGGATCAGCGTGCTCACACAGTCAGTTCTGGTGAAGAAACCACGGGCACCCAGAAACCCAGCCGTCGGGGAGTCTCACCTGGCACGCTCCTTTCCCTTGGGGTCAGTCTCTGAGTTGGCCATCTCTCACCAGCGGCAGAACCCTGGGGGGAAACAGCATGGGACAGTGTTAACCTGTGAACAGCTTCAAGTCAGTCTGAAGGGGTGAGGTCAGGGCGCCGTGGAGCCGGGGAGACGCCGAGAGGGGCCTGGGGAGGGTGCGGCAGGGGCTCCCGATCAGCCACAGCTTCCAGCCTCAGCAGCCGCCCGACACCGGGGGTCCTCCCTGCTCTCCTGTGGGGACCCTGATGTTTGCCAAGGGCACCAGCACCTCCTTGGTCCGGCCGCCTCTTGCCGAAGTGGTTTAGCAGCAGTGAGCCACGGAGGGTCCAAGGTCACTCGGACCAGCAGCAGCGCTGTGCTAGCCTGTGGAAGGTGACCCGGACCCCGCAGCCCCCGCCTCGCTGCCCTGCCCTTCCAGAACATCGGGGGTGTCCCACCAGACCTCGAGGGCCACTTGGGGACCTGCCACGGAAGGACAAGGAGGACCTGAGGCCGGGTGACTCGGTCCTCTGCTCTGCCCCCGCCCCAGTGCCAGAGGGAGGGGCGGGCACAGCTCGGGGACTGCACGGGGCCCGGCCACCAAGCACTGGCCTCCGCCCGGGTCTCCGCGTGGGGGACGAGGGCCGAGCTCGTGCAGGGAACTCGGCCGCAGAGCCCTGGTCCCTGGGCACCTCCCCCGGCACCTGCCTGGCTCCTGGTCCCCCCGGCCTGGCGGGGAGGACACGGCACTTAGAGGCAGCGGCGTGAAGCCATGGCCACCCGACGCCCAGGCAGTGAATCCAGTGAGCGGAGTCCGTGGACCGGCCAGGCCCGTCCCGTGGGGGACACGTTCCCGCCCAGGGACTTCCCCAGCCTCCTGCCAGAAACCAGGGCCCCCCGAGCGAGCCCCCCAAGTGCCCCACAGTGGAGAAAGGGGTGGATGCCCGTGGTCACCACCATGAAACATGGGCCATACCTGGCCCACTCCTGAAGCCAGAGAAGAGCACACAGGGTGGGCCGGGGGGCCGTGCTCTGCTGCGGCTTCTGCCTGTCCCCCCCCGCCCGTGCCTGGCCAGGCCCCCCGGCACCAACACAACTCCCCTCTGCCTGCACTCCCACCCGGAAGGGCCCCACCCCGCTCTGCACCCGGGGCTGCCCTGCCTGCCGCCAGACCCAGCTCGTCAAAACAGAAACGAAAACCCTACGCCAGTCTTCGTTGTCTTAGCGGGCAAGAAGAAGCTCTGAGACGCCCTGCGTTAAAATCACAGCGGCCGAAGGGCGAGAGAAAGGGAACGGCCAGCCCGCTGGCCTGCAGGCGCCGGTGCTGACGGAAGCCCGCTCCCAGGCCGGGCGTCCGTCGGGGTGCAGGGTTAGTCTCCAGGTGGCCGTCTCCAGGGCGACCCAGAAGAGAGACCCGCCAGGCACTGCTGGACCGGGGAGACCCTGCTTCTTACTTCCACGGGGGCTCCAGGGACTGTGCCGGGCCCACGGCTGAATGAGCCGGCTCCGCCTCGCCCTTCCCCTGCCCCAACCCCTCAGGCTCTCGCTCCCGTAGATCCTTCCAGAATCCACTCCGTCCGCCCCACCCCTGCGCTGCCCGTGCACAGAAAACGCTCGCGGAACTCCAGGACCGAGGGCCTGCCTTCCCCCCCCCCCCCCAACCCGGCCTCCTCTTCCTTGGGGTCCGGGCCCCAAGGCCACTCTGAAAAAGGCTTTCTTTCAGCCATGGGAGCTGATTTTTGGTTTAACATCGCCTGTGAAAGTAAGAACCAGAGAGGCAGATTATTTTGTATAAATAGCTTAGTGTTGCCAGTGAACACAGAGTCCAGCCTAAGAGAAAGTCCCCACACGAGTTCATTTGAGCCAAACTGAGGTCAGTTGCCGGGAAGGAAAATATCAACAGACTGAGAAAACCTCCCGGGAACAGCGGCTGGCAGCCCATTTTACGCACTAGATTGGGGGGGGGGCGGGGACGGAAGCGGGGGAGGGCTCCGTGAGGACCACGGGGGCAGACTGGGGAGGAGAACGCACAGCGGGCAAAGCTCTGGGATGGGATAAAAAGTAAGAGAGACACAGACACCTCTTTCAGGTGGTGAGCACAGGGCAGTTAACATTCACAGTGCGGAGACAAGGTGTGGGGGGTGGAGGGGGCCAGACAACAGAAGCAGGAGGCCCGTGCCCCCCAGGCTCCTGGCTGCGCCCTGAGGGGCCTGAGGAAGAAGAGGACTGGACGTCTGTTTCAAAGGCGTGAGCCGCACCCACGACACGCAGACTCCCGAGGGCCGGAGTCTGCAGCACCTGGTGCCGGGAGCAGGGACCCAGGGGCGACGAGCCGTCGTCCGGGCCAACACACCAACCAACGTGGTTGGAACGGGCATCAGCCCGGGTGAGGGCCGGCAACACCGGGTGCTTTTCGGTCAGGTCGTGCGGTGTGTGGGATTGCAGAGGAAAAGGGCATTTTTCCAAGGTCGCTCTCTCGTGCGACAGCCCTCTCCTTGGTGAGCGGAAGCCTTGCTCTCTCTCCGGCAGTCGCCGCACCCCGCGGGCACGGGTCGAGCATTTAAGAGCCACGAGGGCGCTCGCCGCCACGAAGGCGTCCGTGGGAGGATGAGTTGGACGTGGGCCGGGGAAGAACACTAGGTTCCCTGCCAACCGCCAGCAGAAGTCCACTCGACGAGAGGCACACTGTGAAAGCACTCACAAGCCCATGCCCGCAGCACAGCCCCCAGTCAGGGCTGAGGCTTGGGGGAGAGAGCAATGAGGTTTCCCTTCAATTGGCGTTTTTTCCTTACAAGCGCCTCTGCGCATTCTTTCTTGAAAAGCTGCTTTTTGCAGCCCTTTTGATTCTGCCTTTTCCCTCCGCCCGCCTGTAAGCAGAAAAAAGCTGATAGTAAATGAGTGTTTTGGTTTCAACCGGACTCCGGAGATTGCTTTGAGAACTCAGAGTCAGTTCCAGGGTTATCTGTGAGTGTCTCAGCTTCTTGCTGAAGCGCCGAAGAGAAGAGGCATTCCTCCCTCCGGCTGGAGATCTCCGGCGCTCCTGCGTGAGCAGGGGCCTTGCGGAGGAGCCTGGGGTCAATCCCCGAGACATGCAGGTGCCCTCACAGGGAGTTCCAGTCACGGTGACGTAACTCTGGGCTCGGTCAGGAAGCGAGATATAAAGGTTGGTCCCCTGGCGCTTCGGGCCCCCCTCGCAGTCTTAGACACGTGGGAGAAACCTGAAACCCGTAAGCGGGGTCAGGGTCCCCCGGACACCAGGCAGCCCCCGCCCCCGATGGTTCTCACCATCGGCACATTATGACCCACCACACTCTCTTCACCAAAAACAAGTAGGATTTAAAGGTGCAGACGGAGTAAAAGCAAAAGCGGCTTTGTAACCGCCGCACTTGTGGCGGGAGGAATATCAGAAAAAGTTCCTTTTATTTGTTAAAGAATTTTTAAAAAAACTTTCTGCGAATCCTCAACCATGGGCAATGGGGTCTCTAAAGAGCAAGAGCAATGTTGTATGCTAATTTAGCAGCTTTTTAAGACTGCTAGATGTGTCCCTGAGGAGGGACCTTTAGACGTTGCTATTCAGAGAAATGCTGGGCAGAGGTTGAAACAGCACCAGGTGGTGTGAGATAAAGGGCAGCGTCTCCCTCCCTCCTCCTTGAGAGCATTTAATTTGAAAATACTGGTTTGCTTGAATTTTATTTTTGTTTCTGTGTTAAAAGTCACGTCTCAGTCTCAAAATGTTTTGGTAAATAGAATGAAATCTCTGGTGTTCTTACATCATAAGGATTCTTCTCAGAAAGAATTTAAATTGATTTAAAAAAAAGAGAGAGAGAGAGAGAGGACCTGGCTGGTGTAGCTCAGTGGATTGAGCATGGACTGCAAACCGAAGTGTCGCAGGTTCGATTCCCAGTCAAGGCACATGCCTGGGTTGCAGGCCACGGCTCCCCAGCAACCGCACATTGATGTTTCTCTCTCTCTCTCTCTCTCTCTCTCTCTCTCCCTCCCTTCCCTCTCTAAGAAATAAATAAATAAAATCTTTAAAAAGAAAAGAAAAGAAAGATCTTACTTCCCTCAGACGGCAAAAAGCACAGGAAGAAAAACAATGGAAAAACGTGTCTTCTACCGACTCTGCACCCTCTTTCTGAGGGCCCAGGGACCGCTTCGGTCCTGGGAGCAAGCCTGCAGCGCCTGGCACCCCCCTCCCTCTCTCTTCCCCAGCCTCCCGGACGTCGGCAGGGCACTCGGTAATGAGACAGCTCGCGTCTGAGCACACTCCAGCAATGCAGTAATCAATGCGAATTAACAACGACAACAACAGAACAACAAAAAGTAAATGTGGCTGCCAGTAGAGAAAAAACTGTTTCTGAAAGTTGTGAGTGTGTTCATAAATGTGTCAATCTCAAGCATGCTATAAAGTGGGACGGGGGTGTGACGTGTTCAAGAAATACTAAGAATCCTCCTTGTTGATGCCGGAGCCGTGACCTTGTATTGTGAAAATAAGATATAAGTGTACTGTCTCCCGGGGGGCACTAGCCCTCTCCACAGAAGACTAAGTCCCGCTTTTTAACTCAATCCAGGTAAACACGGCCGTTTCCTTGGGGAAGAACTGGCTATTCTCCCGCGGGGAGCGGTGAGTCAACCGAGTTATGAAAGGCATTTGGCGCCTCACCACTTTTGTCTAAGACATATTTGAGCAGCACCCCTCCCAGTTTTCCTTGCAAAGGCTAAACCTAAAAGCTAAAGGGGCAGTTAACTTGCTGCTCAAACTCACTGCAGCTCGCAAAAATGGCAGAGGGCCTGCCTTTCCGAACCTAACAAAATAAAACAAAGACAAATGGCACTTTTAAAACGGAGGCTACTTTTCAGCCAACTGCTCCTTCCCTGCTGCAAACCAGAAAGCCAAGGGTTAAAGGCTTAAACGAGCCCTTCCAGAAGGGCGAAAATCAGACCCCCAAAGCTAAACAGAAAAAGTAGTAGAAAAAGTTAAAGGCCTGTTTCTTTATCATTCCCAAGCCAAGCAGATTGTTGAAGAATGCCCTGACTGCCAAGCCCTTACTAAGGCGCCCCCACCCACGGGAGCTGACCCTCAAGGACTAGGTTCTCAGAGGATTTAGCCAACAGATGTCACTCATCACGCTCCCTTTGGAAAATCCAAGTACATTCATATTTCTATTGATACTTACTCTGGTGCCCTACATGCATCTGCTTTGACAGGAAAATCTGCTAAAAATATACCAGCCCGTTGGCCTGAGGCCCTTAGTCATTTAGGGTGGCCTCAGCACATTAAAACTGATAACGGCCCAGGATACCTTGCGGCCTCAGCACATTAAAATTGATAACGGCCCAGGGCACCTTGCCCGTTCTACTCAGGCTTCCCTTCAGCACTGGAATATCCAGCATGAGACAGGAGCACCTTGCAATCCATCCTTTCACGCAATCGTAGAACGGACACATCGTACCTTTAACATTCTTCTTAAAAACACAAAAAAGGGGGAGTCAGGAGTCTACCCCCCAAAATTTGACTATGTTAACTATGTTCACCTATAATTTTCTACACTGTGATGAGTCACTCTGTACTCCAATGGAGAAACATCTTCAGAAGAAAGAGCCAAAGTCATCTTATCCTCAGGTTTTATAGAGAGACCCGCTGGGAGATGGCTCTTGGCAGGGCCCTGTACTGCCCTGAACTTGGGGGACAGGGTGTGCATGTGTTTCCATCCCTGTGGGTCCCGTCTGGCTCCCAGGTACAAGGGTGAAGCCTCATCATGGACGAAACAGACGTCAAGCTCTGCCACCCGGAAACGAAACCCAACCGGCCCCCAGACCAGACAGCCCGTTAGGAGAAAACAAGCACTGGATTCTGGTGCCAAAAAATACAGTTTATGTTGCCAAGTATTTACTGTAGCTTATTTTTCTGTTCTTATTGACCCTTTGTGCTTCCCTTTAAAGGAGCAACTTCATGCTTCAAGCAAAGAGCCGTGCAGTGATCACTATCAGCTCTCTGTGACGACCGCAATGAACCCACGTATCCAGGAGGGGCTTTATCGTACTCTCAATGCCCCCCACCCCCCCCGTTCCTCCTTGTACTTTAGACCCTGGCCATAAAGATTCCGTCTTCTGGTCTTTGCACCGAGCACTGAATGCCACAGTTGCTTATCTCCCCAAAAGTCCTTTTGCAGTGGAGAGTTGGGGCGCTCCCTGGAGAATATTAGCTAAGCCTGACGAAACAGTGGTTCTGGCTCTGCCTCTATTCCTATACACTAATGTGTGGTGGGAGGGGCTCGGCACTGGGGCACATATTATCAGAATTGTTTCTCCCAACCACACTAGCCCTTGGCGTTGCAATTCTTGGAAAAGGGGCTTGCCTTTTCTTGCTAGAAAACGCCTGCATGAAGAATTTTTTACATGCCTCCACCAGGATGGCCCTTCGATGCAGGATTGGGTCACGGTTTGTACCTCTCACCCCCTCTTGTCTTTTTTTAAAGGACTTATTTATTTATTTTTAGAGAGGGAAGGGAGGGAGATAGAGAGAAAACATCAATGTGCAGTTGCTGGGGGCTGTGGCCTGCAACCCAGGCATGTGCCCTGACTGGGAATCGAACCTGCGACGCTTTGGTTCGCAGCCCGCGCTCAATCCACTGAGCTACGCCAGCCAGGACCCCCCTATTGTCTTTAGCACCGCCCAGGACACCGAAGACAGAACGCTGCAGCTTATACCTAATTAACTCCCCCCACCCCGCAATCCCAAACCCCTCACCTACACTGTTCTCCTTATAAAAAGGGACAGTTTCAAATGGAATTTCAGACGGTCTGCTGGCGCACAGAAACCCGCCATCTTCTCAGATGGCCAGCCATCTGAAAATAGTGCCCACAGAGACTCAGTTCCTGTCTCTGCTTATTGGGTCTGGTGGCGGCGGGCAGCCTGAAGGCCAGCCCCTGCGCTTCCCTGCTTTGTGCCCGGCAGACCTGTGCCGAGTGGAAGACACCTGTGATGCAGAGGCCCGCGCACCAAGAAGTCCCCTCGGCCTCAGGAGGGGGCGGGGGAAGGGGTTCACAGGACGTGGCTGAGGCCCAGGGTGGGGCGGGCCCAATGCCAACAGCCCCTAACGGCCGAAAGGCAGGAAGTCATCCATCTGGGGCAGATGAGCAGGGTGTGAAAACCTGATTAAAATGTCGTTTCAATTCAAGGAAATCACAAGACTTTTCAAAGCCAAGCTCACAGCCACCGAATGGAGCCATAGGTCTCTGTCACGCAGACAGCAGCAGGAAGGGGGCTGATGAGCCAGCAGCGGAGGTCAGGGCAGGGGTGGGTGAGCAAGGACGGGATCACGGGGCCGGGGGCAGAAGGAAAGGTCATGGCCACAGGTGCGGGTGGCCCAAGACAGGAGGCTGCCGGCCTGAGAGCCTGAGCCACCTAGCCAAACCCTGACCTGGGAGGGACAGATCTGGGGACGGCCAGTGAGGCTGCCTGAAGCTCCCCTCTTCCAGGTCCGAGGCCAGCCTGCCAGGGCTGTGAAAGGACCCACTCCCGGGCCGTTCATATCTGTGTCACACAGTTCACAACAGTCAAGTTTCTCTGTTGAGCTGCCAGTCTCTTTTGCTGTTGGTGCTGTGAGCTATTGGAGCTCTGCAGGTCCAAAATACAACTTCACTGCGAGCCTGCAAAGGGGAAGTCCTCCGCGTTCCCGCACGCCCTCTCCCGCCCGCCCGCCAGGATTTGGAAAGCACTGGGTGGGGGGCGCCCTGCGGGAGCCCAACCAGTGGGCTCCGCCTCAACAGGTGGAACCTGGGCAGGGACCCGCACCCTCGCTGCGCACAGGTGGCCGGGGACGCTAAGAAGCCCACCCTCCCCGCGCGCCCTCTCCCTTTTCCAAGCAGCCCCTCCCCGACCCGCTGCCAGCTCTTCCTTCCAGCAAGGGCTGCGCGAGCCTGTCACCTCACCTGCAAGTCCCTGGCTCCCGAAAGCAGGACCTCCGCGAGGACACTCACTGCACAGCAGCCACTACACCTGCCGCTCCAGCTGCGCGCGCCACTGCCGCCGGCTACAGACACCCGGAGGAAGCTGCGGATCTCGGGTAAGGGGCGCACGGGGCCAGGGGCTGCGCTCCGACTGGGCCACGAGGAGGTAACCTTGAGCTGAGAGAAGTTCCGCTCCTAGTCTAGGGCCAACCGGCCCCTCCCCTGGCCGCGGCCCCGCCTCCCCCCCACCCCCCTCCACCCGCTGAATAACCGGGCCTCGTCCAGTTACTCACCGAGCCACCTACAAAACCTGCCACTCACTGTTTGCCTCCTCATCGGGGGGCAGGGACACTGGGGGGAGACCGCCCACCCGCGGCCACCTCCCGGGCGGAGCCCTGGTCGGGCGGGAGGCGCCCCTCCCCCAGCAAGCGCGGGAGGGACAGGCGGAGCGAAAGTACGGAAGTGGCACGGGACCGTGGTGGGTCCCGGGAGAAAAGAAAATGCCCGGGACCCCGGGTCAGGCGGAGAGTTTTCCGACTTCACAGCAAAACCTGACCTCGAAAGAGGATGTGGAAATTTACGCTGACCTCATCAAGTGTAACAGTGAGGGGGATGGGCCGGTGTCTGCTGCCCTCCCGGCTCGCTTGGGCCTCGGTATCCCGCGGGGGGCTGCCGTTGCCCGGACCTCCCTGCCCCAGAGCCCCAGGAGCCAGGAACAGCGGGGGACCGAGGCCGCAGGAGAGGGGGGGACCCGCTCATTCAGTCACCGGCTGAGACGCAGAGCTGCTGGCTACTCGCTGCCTGGCACACCCTCCCAGGGGGAGAGGCAGGGCCAGGGCCAGGGCCAGGGGCAGGAGGGCGCGCTGCGGGAGGCTCAGAGGCTCGCGGGAAGGGGACGCTGAGAACTCGCTGTCATTTCCACGAGGCTGCCTATGCCCAGGAATATCAAGTACCGAAGACTTGTTTGTCAAGTTACAACTTTTTCAATGCGTGACAGCCTGGAAAAGCGGACTGCGTCTCCCCGCTTTGGAAAGCGTGCCTGGAGACCCCGGTCCCCAGCAGGCCCCTCAGGCCGCAGCTGCTGCCGGGAGACATGGTTCGCCCACGTGTTTCCCCGTCAGCAGCTTTTCTGTTCTTCCTCCTGCTGGGGGCTTCCACAGGGAACGCACTTTTCCTCTTGATGAGATCAGCAAAGATTTCCACTTCCCCTCTCCAGACCAGGGTTTGCTGCTGAGTGGGAAAACTCTCCGCCTGACCCGGGGTCCTGAGCGTTTTCTCCGGGGTTGTCTCTAAAAGTCTGATCGCTGCATGTTTCACGTCCAAGTCCACCGTTCATTCTGGGCGAGAGGGCTGGGTGGGGCCGCTGTGTCGTTCGGGTTTGCTCCCGGAGGCCGGATGGCTCCAGCAGCGCTGGCTGAAAAGGTGGTTCCTCCCTGGAGGATGCTTGTGTACATTTGTGTTTTGAGAAATTTCAATAAGTTTTAAAGCTGTTTCAAAGGCCTTTTGTGCTGCAGCCATAGCTGAGACCCGTAGACGGGAGAAAACTCGGGATCTAGTCTGCGGTAGTGCACAGGAGAACTGAAATAACCACCCGACCCACACACGTGGGGCAAGATCCCGTTTACTGAAAGTGAAAAAAAAATGCACACTGTCTAGGATTTATAGTAAAGCGGTATGCTGTTGTGTGTTCGTTTTTGTTTTTAATAAAAAGCAGTGCGTGAATGCGAGGAGGTCCTAAGAGAGACGGCCCGGCGTGTGTGGGGGGGGGGCTGGAGCAGGGGTGCTGCTGGGGGCTGTGCCTGTCCAATCTGGGGTGCTGTCTGCAACCACCAGAGGGTTTGCTCTGCAACTTCCTCGGCCGCGCAGAATCAGGTTCCATTCTCTAGATGTCAATCTAGACATCTTATTTTGTCAATCTGAAAAGCGGAAAACGGAGAGCAACGCCAGTGGTGGCTGGGACGCAGCCGTTTGATGGTCCGTTTGGGTGGGGACCCGGCCAGACCAGCTGCCCTGGTCCCGCTACTCTGCCGGCTGTAGCCAGGTGTTTCCCTGCAGGCGTTCTGGAGACACGCTTCAGGTCCAGAACCAGTGCCTCTCAGGGAAGGAGATTGTGCAAACCGGTCTCGGAGACCTGGTTCTCTCGGGGCCAGGCCTCCAGAGCAGAGCCGGCGTTTCCCCGCCCCCCATCCCGCCCCTGCCAGCCGGCCCCAGCTGCGGCTGCGCAAACAAGTTCCTCGTCTGGTTTTACTTTCTGTGTTTTGTTTTTTTTGTTTAAGTACAAGCTGTTCTTTTACACACTGTGCAGATACCGCACGTTTACTCTGTTACAGCCTCGCAGAGACGAGGTATCTGCACGCCATGCCCCTCCCCCACACCCGCATAACTTATCTAGGTTTTAAATAAAGCCAAAACGAGCAGCTCCAAGGACACGCCCAGAGGACCGGAAAAGAAAACGACCGTTTAGAAAAGCCGTCCATCACGACTTCCTCATCTCACCTTTCCCATCTAAGGTAAAGGAACTACAGAGCGGCTGTCAGGCAGGGTCCCCGGGGGATTCGGGCGCCGGCTCCGAAGGGGCGGCCACCAAGCCATTCGCAGGTTCCGACCGGCTGCACCCAGTTCCCTGGCCCACAGTAACTTCAGCTGCATCTTGACGGCTGCTGCAGTGTCACTGTGCACGTACTTACGTATCGTCGTATACGCACTGCTGACCTGTCACTGCACGCTGTTACCCGCGCGAGCTTCCCGCCCTCCCTCCGTCTCTCCCCCACACACACTGCTCTAGGGCCTCGGGCGCCATGACAAGGTGTCACCACGTGGGGGAGCCCCGGTGCAGGGGCTGTGCGGAGGGGCCCCGGGCCTTCTCCCTGTCTGCAAGCGGCACCCTCTCCTGAGCCCTGGAGCAAGCTCTGGTGTCTCTTCTGAGGACACTAATCCCCTGGGGGGGGGGCCCACCCTGGTGACCTCATATGACCCTGATGGCCTCACCAAGGCCAAGCTCCTGACCCCAGCCCGGTGGGGACTGGGGTTTCAGTGTCGGAATTCCGGTGGGGGTCGCAAACACGCAGCCACGGCAGAGGGAACGAAACGAAATAGAAATAGGTGGAAATGACGTGATTCAAGGCTACGTGGGCAGGCGCAGCGATAAACACACGACTGCCGGTTTTCAGGCGTGTGCGTGCGGTGCCTTTTCGTCGTCCGCGGCACGTGCAGAGGCGTCCAACAGGTGACGTGCACTCCGCGCGGCCAAACGTGGTGGAAATGGATTTCCTTCTGCTCGTTTCTCTCCCGCCCTGCTTCTGCCGTGCCCACCACCCGCCCTGCGACAGAGGGCTGTCCAGGCAGGACTGTCAGCTGTCCTAGCCTCCCGGTCCCTTTCTCAGGAGAGAGCCCTCGTCCAGGCCGGGGAGCCTGGGCAGCCAGCACCTGGGCGAGTGCAAACAAGGGCCTCGTGTTCCACCGGCGACCGCCCCTGCGCCAGGTGCAGGCAGGATCCCCGCGGAAGGATTTCCCAGGGCGGCGCCCAGGGCACGTGCGTCACGAGGCGGACAGGTACCGCGCACAGTCTGGGAAACCGGGGCGGGAAGGACACGGGTCCCTACCCCACAGGCGTCTCGTACTCTAATAACCTGATAAAGGGCTGGCGTGGGTGTGGCTGGTTCCCGAGGACCTTCTTTAGGGCCGGGACATCTGAGAACGAGGCGGGATCCAGTGGGAGGCAGGGAGCGGGGGGAGGGGAGAAAAGAGGAAGAAACAGACTTCTGCTCCAGAGCTACATTCTCTTTATTCAGCCCGCGCAGCCAGTCCCCGCGCCGGCGTCTGCCTGATGGAACAAAACAGACTCGTGGCCCCCCAAGTATCTCATCTGAAAAACTAGCTTAAAGCTCCTAAGCTCCAGGTGAGCCCTAAGTTTACTCTGGAAAAGGGGCTCAACTATCCGTGACCTTGGCTGGCATTCTGGCAATCCTCCACCAGAACATTATTATTTTACTAACGAATTAAATGTACAAAATATAAAACTACATTGCAATGCTGACTGCCTACAAACGGTAACAAAATTTATAAAAGAAAATGTGGTCTGACTAAAGAATTAAGTATTAAAGTTAAACATATTTTTACTTTGAGTAAAATAAAAATATAATAAAGTTCTCATATTATGGATTCCAGTTTATTAAAAAAATAGCAAAAAATTAAAACTAGCAAATGCTCCAGTGGCTTTACACTAAGTGTTTAAAACTTCAAGAGCTAATTAATCTTTTTCTTAATGTAAACTAGGTCACAATATTCTGGAACTGATTTATTTTTTAACAGAGAAATAATTTCTGTGAGACTGCAGGACCAAATCACGAGACAGCCTGTGAGTTTTCCCTAGTTGAAGTCTGGAGAGCAGACCGCTGCAAGAACGCCCCCACCAGCGATGCGTGCGCAGGAGGCGACGTCAGCTGGCCACGGGGAGGACCCTGCGGCGACACCCCAGGGCGGCGAGGCACGGCGCCCCAGAGGCCACCTACCTAACGCCCCGGAGAAATGCAAGAAGCAAGACCCAAGCCTGGCCCGTCTACGCCACGGTGACATCAAACCTGCTCTAAGACAACGTGTTTCATAAGAATCTATATTCACAACAAATAAGCCGCGGCGGCGCCGTCAGGCCGCCGTCAGCCGTGGGCACGGGGCCCCACGGGCGGCTGCGTCTGGGTCACTGGAGCTCGGCCGGCGTCGACGTGGGCGGAGAGGCCGCGGCACCTGCAACGCAGAGCGTGGGCGTGAGCTGACAGGGATGAGACAGGCGGAGACGACATCCGTGCAGAAGGTAGGAAACTTGGCCGTCCGTTTTAAATAAAGGAAAACCCACGTTTCTGGATGTGGGCGTGGCGCTGGGTGGGGAAGGGCCGGCGGAGCCCCCACACCAAACCCCGCAGGAAGCCGTAGGGGAGAGGAGACGGCCGCCTACCCCGGCCGTGACCCGAGACGCGAAGCCTCCGGAGGGAATCCGAGTTGCTTCCGAGCACGCGGTCCGTAATCCCTGGAGCTGTGGGCAGAGCGCGCGGTGCCCGCCCGGCCTGGAGACGGGCGCGGCCGAAAACGGGGCCAATTCTACCCGTGGCTGCGGCCGTCAAAAATAAAATCGATACGGTCTTTGAACGTCTAACTGCAGGGAAACTTCTGGACTACTCAGAGCCGAAGGGCAGCGTGTAAGCAGCACGGACAGGGGAGGACTGTGAAGTCTGGGCCGTGAGTTCTCTCCAGAGGACTGGGGGCTGCTGAGGGAGCGACCCCAAAGGGACCCGCTGCTCAGCTCACGAAGCTGAGTGACGCCGGCCAGAAACTCGGGGGGCCGGGAGACTGCAAGGAATATTATTTTCTATGCTATTTGCTCGGTATACCAAACCAAGTATCAATATTTTTGGCAAACAAAGAGGGAATGTGAGGCCATAGAAATCACGACGTTTGCTATTCATCTGAATAAAGAGGGAAAAAAGCAAAACACACGTCACCGCTGTGGGTCTGTCACTCAGTGCCACCGCAGGTTTCGGACAAGGTTCTTAGAAGGCACGTGAGGAGCCGCACAATCAGACGAGAGAAACCGGCCGCCAACGCAATGGCCAGAGGCCCCAGGGCACGTGGCTGGCTGGGTGCGCCTCACCTGCAGCCTCCACAGAGGCTTCCGGAAGCTCCGGGTCCGGGAGCTGCTCCGAGTCCTGCCCCTCGAGGTCCCTCGAGGGCTGAGCCGCCGGGGACGCGCTGGACGTCTGCGGGGGGCTCCTGTCCGCCTCGGCTCGCTGCTGTAACCACTCGTCCTTATACCCATTGCTGATGAGTTTGGAAAAGTTTGTGGGTGAACTGAGTTTTTGCCCCGGCCTCAAAAGGAGAAAAATTAACGACAAGCTTGAGTACAACAGTCAACAGGACTCTAGGGGGTTCTCGGCAAGCACGCTGACAATAAACTGGAGGCTCGCTGCTCCTCACGACAGCGAGATGTATCTCTCCCTCCCCCTCTCCCTGTCTCCCCGGGGAATCAGACAACCAGCCACACCTGTTCCTGCACAGACTGGGCTACGCAGTGAGGGACGGCTCCTTCGGAGGGGAAAGGCTACAGCAGGCCGGCAGACGGGGGGACGTCGTGACGTCAGCGTCACGGTGCCCAGCACACGGTCGGACGCCGATGTGGGCACAGCACGTTGTCGCCTCGCGGTCACCGCGGCCCCTGGGACCAACGGCCACACCCCAGCAAACCCGACGGCAGTGAGTGCGGCCGGAGCACTTACATGGGAGGGAAGGAGAGTCTACTTCTCGCCAGGTCTTTGGGGCCCAGCGGGGTCCCTGCTTTGCTGGGGTTCTTGGAGTTAATGGCTGGGAGCCTCACCTGCAAGAAGAAACACACACCCGGGTCAGTGCAAAGCGCTCGGCCCCTCGGACCCCCCGTGAAGGGAGACGTGAAGGGAGATGGCGGCTCGCGGCTGGCAGCGGAAGTCGCACACGCAGGACAGTCGCACGCACCGCCCAGCAGCGTGGCGGGTCCCTGCCGGCACCCCGGGGACGGAGACCGCCGGCAGTTCTCGGCACTGCTGGGTTCGAGCCAAGATGCACCCACTCGGGAAGGAAACAGGGAGCAGCTCACAGTGCGAGACTCTGAGGGGGGCCGGGCCTCAGGGCTCCGAGAGGACGGGGTGCCACCCTCGGAGGGGCAGCCCCTGGCTGGGCTCGAGCCATCGGGTGGGAACCAGCGTGGGCATGGCATGAGAGACCTTCCCGTAGTCACCCTGGAAGGCAGGCTCGCGTGCCGTCCAGCCACCGGGGAGAGAGAGGTGGCCCGCCCACCCGTCCACCCTGCCCCAGCACAAACCCCGATCCTGCCCGAGAAATCCAGGGGGCGCAGCCGAGAAAAGTGGGGAAGGGGACTGGCATGGAGGTGACTCGGAGGGGAGGGGAGGCGGAGGGCCAGGTGGAGAGTGGAGGTGGGCTAGAGGGGAGGCCAGGACGCCCCGCGCTGAGGGCGGCCGAGGACCAAGAGGGTGGGGCTGGTGTTCAGAACCAGAATGAGGGGCCCCGTGAGGGGCAGGGGGCGGGGCGTTATGAGGAAGGTGACCCCCAAAGGGAAAGCCGGGCCTCGCTGGGCAGAGGGACGGGTGCCGGAGCGGTGGGGGGTGGGGCAGCTGGGAAACTATGGGTCACAGCCACAGGGCCGAGTCTGCGGCCGGGGGGTGAGGCCGAGATCTCACCGAGGTCAGACTGTCTCCAAAGTCAGAACCCCTGTCCCTCCCAAGACGCTGCTACGAGAAGGAAAGGACCGGCCGTGGGCGGTGGGGGCGGGGGGAGGACGAGGACAGGCCCAGCACCCGCCGGGGGAGGGCGTCTTCGGAACACACAGGGAGCAGCTCTCCCGTCTCCATCCGCCGCACAGGGAGGGCGGGCTCCGTCGAACAGCGGGCAGGGGAGCGGGGCAGGTGCTGCCCTGACAAGATATTCTGGGGGAAAGCGCTGGAAAGACGTCCAAGGCCCCGTCAGTCCCGGGAAACGTGCATTTAAACCGCAGCGGGGAGGCGCCCCCTGGAATGGCGCAGACCCCGACAAGGTCAAGGGCATGAGGGGGTGGGGCACCAGCCTGCCCTGCACTGTGGGGAGGGGGCCGGGTCCACGGGGCGGTCACTGTGGACACACGGGCAGCTTCTCCTGAAGGTGAACACGCGAGGTCCTCGTCCACCCGATGAAGCCAGTGGCCACCGACGCTCACGCCGCCCCCTGCCCGGCTTGGAGGTGGCTTCAGGGGTCATCATCGCCCAGGGGAGGAAGACGCCGAGGCCCCGGCGCCCCGGGGATGGCGGCCAGGCCAGGAGCACCCTGACTTCCGAAGAGGGGGCTCTAGTGGCTGAAATCTGACCCTGGTCACCCGAGGTCGGGCCAGCCTCTCGCCTTCCAGTAACGCAGACAGATGTCAGGTTCGGAACCCGGCTGAAGTCACGCACAACGACAGCCACGCCACCGCTAGCCCCACCGCGCTGCCCCGGGAGCCTCACGCACGGGGGCCGCCACGCCCTCTATCGGGGCGCGCGCGTCACCTTTTTCTTCTTCGTTTCCAGCTCCTCCGCCTCCCGCTGCCAGACGGTCTTCACGTCGAAGTCGAACGGCCCCCTCCTGGATTCGTAGCTGCTGGCGGCCAGACGGGGGTTAGACTCTTCGCGGACCACGCAATTGGGCACACAGGCAGCTAGCCCCCTGAGGACCCCAGGGGGACCTGCACTCGGTTTCGGGGGGCTGCCTGACCTCCCCCGCCTCCTGACGCCTCCCCCTCGCCCTCTGCGTCTAGCCTCCTCCCTCCAGCTCCGCCCCCCTCATTCCCCGCCCCCCGCCCGCTCCCTCCCCCCGCCCACCTTCAGGCGGCAAAGGCCACCCCTTCTCCTCTCCCCGCCTGCAGCGCCCCCTCCAGGTCCTGCGAGGGAACACACCGCCCCTCCCCAAGGCCTGCTTCCCAGAATCCAGAGGCCACGCCCGAACTTGCGGGCACTTTAGCAAATCGATTGCACTCTCCTTTCCTGCACAGGTGGACAGCAGGGCGGCGCCTCAGCTACTCACTGCCTCTGGCCGGCCGTGGGCGGCTTGCTGTGGTGGATGTACCAGTCTGGCAAGGAGTAGGCCGCCGGGGAGCCCTTCCTGGTGCCGCTGCCGGACGCCATCCCCGGCGCCAAGTGCATCAGCAGGTCTCCAAACCAAAGAGAGGCACCATGAGCGGTCTCGCCCGCCCGGGGCCGTGGTGTGACTAGCAGGCAGGCCACCCTTTACAAAGGACACTGTGACATCTCCTGGGGCCGCCTCTGGGCTCCGGAGCCACAGGAATCAGCACGCACACCTGCTGAGGAGGGACACCCCCCACCCCACCCCGGTCCTGAGCTGGCATCTGTGCACGCCAGCACCCACCCATGTGCTGGTTCGCTGCTCCAGGCTGGTGTGCGGGAGCAGGACTCCTGAGCTCTCCAGGGCTGCAGGCTGCCTGCCCTCTCAGCCGGTGCCATGCCGCCCTTGCCACCTGGGTCAGTCTGACTGCACTCCTTGGCCACCGTGTGGCCGTGCCTGACCCCACTATCTCCACCGCCACCTCCCTCCCCTCTCTGTCTGCATCTCTCTGTGTCCGGTCTGTCCCCCATCAGCATTGTCCCTGCCATTGCTGGAAACCAGCACTGACACACTCCCCAGTCTAATCTCAGATCTTCATGCCATTTGCCGGCTGCCCCCCGTGGTCCTTTCACCGCTGGCTGGGGTGGGGAGGCCCGCTCTCGGAGCTGTGCCGGCCTGGGTCCCGCGGTCTGCCGGCCGCACTAGCACTGCAGCCCTGACAGTCCCGTTCCGACTCTCATCCCGGCACAACCGTCCCGGGGCTGGCGCGGCCAGAAAAAAGGGGTTGGCGCCTCTCAGTGCCACCTGTGACTGGGGCCAGTGGGGGGATATTTTAGACGGTCCTCCTCAACCTGACCAGTGATTTTGATGCACGAAACCGGGCGGTACTGTCTCCGGGAAACCACAGGGTCGCTGCTGAAGCGCTCCTACGGTGTGGGGCAGGTAAAACCTGGAAATGCGCGGGACCGGATCGGGGCAGTGAGAGCAAACCACGGGGCTCCATACTGCGCAGGCTGGCCCGGGGGCCATCGAACCGCAAGGATGGACCCTGCCCGTGAGTGGCTTCCTGCCGGTCCGCTGGTGCAACGTGACTCACTCAGGGTGCGCCCCAGCAAAGGCGTCCCTTGGGAGGGCAGCCCTCTGGGGCCGGCTCTGCGGACTCGGCCTGTGCAGTCCAACTTCTCACCAATGGTGCAGGTCCCCGAGGGGCACGCACACCCAGCGCACCCCCGGGCCTCCTCTCCAGGGGCCTGGGCGAACCCCTGCTTTCTGCACTGACACTGTCACAGGACAAAGGGCCCCATCACTGACCGCACGGAGACCCGGGGCGCCGGGGCACTCACCGGGGTGGCCGCCTTGCTTGGCCAGCTTCACGTACTCGGAGTCGGTCTCCTTGACCCAGTACCTCCGCGAGCCCAGCGTGCGCCCGCCGGGCGGGTCCCGAAACGCACTGAGGCCGGGAATCTGGGACACAGGAGGGGCGTCCACAGCCTTCTCAGACCGCCGCACGGGAAGGTGGTAGTACCAGTCTAGGAAGGGAGGGGCCGAGGTCAAGTTTCTCCAGTGAAGTTCAGGTTGGCTCAGCCCGGTGCCTGGAAGAGGCCTATGCCAGAGAGGGCCTCCTCGTCCGGGGCACACGGGATGGGAGACACCCACCGCCCAGGACACACGTGCCTAGGGTGCTCTCTGGACAACGTGGACCCTTGAGTCACGGGCCTGGGAGGGAAGCAGCTCGCCTCGCCCCTACAGTGGGGAGGACTTAAGAGAAAAGACGGGGCTCCCCCTGGCGAGAAGACTTCAGCCTCCTGACCCAGGGCTACACACAGCACCCGCTCTGCCCGGGGCCCAGGCTGCTGGTCCTCCCTGCAGGTTTGGGCCCTGCCTGCTCCACTGCTGTGTGAACCCGTTCCCTAAAGCCGGCCTCTCTCTCTCTTTCCTTCTCTCTCTCTCTCTTTCTCTCCCCCCTCCTCCTCTCCCTCTCTCTCCTTCCCTCTCTCTCTCTCTCCTCTCTCTCTCCTCTCTCTCTCTCTGCTTCTCTCTCTCTCCCTTGCTCCCTCCCTCTCTCTCCCTCTCTCTCTCTCCTTCCCTCTCTCTCTCTCTCTCCATCTCTCTCTCTCTCTCTCTGCCTCTCTCTCTCTCTCTCTCTCTCTCTCCCTCTCTCTCTCTCTCTCTCTCTCTCTCTCTCTCTCTCTCTCTCTCTCATATACCCCCACCTCCTGCTGGTTCTGTCACTCTGCAGAACCCTGCCTGATACAGAGGCACACAGGAAAATCGCACCACGTTGACCAATTTACACAAGCACACAGGGACCTCACGAACACGAAGTAATCTTCCCCTAAACCCAAAGCATAGACATCCAGCTTCCACTTAGAACTAAAGCTGGGTCCACTGCCTACAAGTGAATGTTTAACACAGCCAGTCTCGTACGTATCTGGAGGACAGTCACTAGCTGAGTCAACAGTATCGTTTTGAAAAGGAAGGGGGGAAAGCCCCCAGAAAACAGGTGAGGAACTGTGCGGAAGCTCACAGAGAGTCACACTGAGGAGGAAGAGTCCAGCAGCTTCATACTGTGCTCCTGCTCAGCAAACAGCGTCTCCCGTGGAGGGAAGTCTCTCCCTCCCTGCCCTGTTTTCCTCCCCGTGTTTTGGTGACTAATTAATCCACCGAGAATGCCACGTCGTCTTCCCTCTCGTTACTGGGAGCCTCTGGTCCGCCATCTGTGTCCACACGCAGAGTTGCTCAGAGGGCCGGGGCCCCAGGCGGTGGGAGCCACTGTCACCGCCCCCCCCACACCCCCCGCCACACACACACACACACACACACAGAGCCAAAGGGGACAAGAACTGTCTTGTAGTTTCTGTCACCCAAAGAGGATCAGCGCTCGCGTGGCCCAGATCACGGACTCTGTAGCAATCAGGAGACAGCTGAGAGGACAGCCCGAGGCCCCGCCCCTCGCAGCTCCCCGGTCTCTAAGCACAGAGCAGCCTGGGCCGGCCACACACCACAGGGGCCCCCAGGGCCCCGGCCAGCCCTCCCTCGGAGACCAGGGGCTGCAGCCTGGGCAGAGGAGCCCTGCAAGGGGTGCCACCTCTGGCCGCATCCTCCAACTCTGTGCCTTGGTTTCCTCATCTGTAAACCGGGTTCATAGTGCCTCGCCATGCCATGTGGAGGTTGAATGTTCATGCATGAAAGTGCTTAGAACAGCGCTCCGCCCTACAGAGGAGGCCGCTCACTGAGTGCGGAGGGGTCGCACACAGGCTGAGAGCTCCCAGCAGAGAAGGGAAGGCTGCCACGCTTCCCGTCCCCCGCCTCCCCGCGGTGTCCCCAGCAGTGCTCGCACTCAGAGCTCCGGGCCGGGCTCACACGAGATCCGTGAGGGCCACGCCGAGTGCCACCTCTGAGCGACCACCCCAGGGCTGCGGAGGGCCCGCCGGCCCCACCCCGCCTTTTCCCGCCAGCTCCTGGATCCCGCCTCCGCCTCCTCTCGCCAGCCCTTCCCAGGACGGGTGCGACCGAAACAGAGCCCAGAACAGCCCACGGCCCCAGGCCTGCCTCCCACCCCGCCGCCCAGCCTCCAATCCTGCTGAGTGAGAAGCCACGCGCACCCAACCCACGCAGAACCTGCTCTCCGCGCCCAGGCACTCCCAGCGGGGGCCTAGTGCACGGGGGGGGGGGGGGTCTAGATCCAGAGCAGGAGCAGGCAATCCACCAGGGACAGACACCCGTGCACCCGAAGAAGGGAGAAAACCAGTCCCCGCTCCGGGAAGGAGCTGTGACGGCCATGGAGTGAGGCTGGCCAGGGACACCTTCAACTGCCATGGCCCCCAGCAGCCGAGGCAGCTGCAGTAGCTTGGTTCTCTTTTTCTAAAATAGAGAGAAGGGAAAAGGGACTCACCCGCCCCACCCCCATGTTCCCCTTTAAGCCTTGCTTTGACACTAGAGCCCCTTTCTTTGAGGAGGCGCCACGCGTGCTTTCCCCTCACACCCGCCCCCGGGGATGCAGGGTGCGGAGCTGTCCCACAGCAGGAGCTGGCCGGTCACTCACCGCACGGAGCATGGCGGCTGGCGGCGCCCTGCAGCTCCTTGCTCGGGTTCCTCATGCCAGAGACGCGCTGGGCCGGGTTCACAGCGAGCCGGGGAAGCGGGGAAGCGCGCCGGGGCTGAGCTGCAGGGACCGCGTCGGCGCCCCTGCTCTGTCCGTCGTCGGTCTGCCTCCACCTGGCAGGGAGTCAGGCGTGTCATCACCGAGGAAGGGCGGGCACGTCCAAACCGGTTTACAGGCGGGACACACACAGCAGGTGCACAGCACACCGTGTATACCAGCAGGGCCACGCCGCGCTGGAAACACAGATGGACAGCGCCACGCGGGTACACAGCGGAGGATAACCGGTCCCGAGGTCCCTGGTCCCGGGTGACAGGTGGCCCCCTCCCCGCCCACACCCCCTGGCCGCCCGCCCCGCTCACCGGCTCGCCGAGGAAGGTCTCCGTGGGTGCCTTCCGCTGCGCCTGAGGCCAAAGTCTGCACCCCCGCGGGCGCGGGGACCAATCCCGAACTCCCAGCGCGGCGCGGAACCACAACAACTCTCGTCGCCTGGGCAACCGCCGAGTGGCCAACCAGCGAGCGCAGCTGGAGCGCAGCAGCCAATCAGGGAAGCCTGTCGGGCCGCAGCAGACCAATCAGGGCCAGGTGCGGAGCGCGGGCTCTACTAGTCAACCGCCTGCGACCCAGCGGAGTCCTGGTGTCCCCCTGCCTGTCCCGCCACCCCGCGTTTCTTCTCCAAAGAGGTCCGGGAAAACTCCCGTTTACGTAATGCATTTAAAAAAGAGGAGGCAAAAGTGAGTACCCGGGGAAACTCAGCAAACAGACATTTCTGCCGCGCGTCTCAGGAGTAAAATTATCTGATAAATGTCCCTTCTGGCATCTTGCTTTTTCAAGATTATTTCTGGTAGGTGGGTTGAGACACGAGTAAAAAGCCTTTGTCGCTGGCCGCGTAGCTCAGTCGATTGGAGCGTCGCCAGGCACGACAAAAGGTGGCGGGTTCAATCTCCCCATCAGGGGTACACACCTGGGTTGTGGCTTCCGTCCGTCCGGGTGTGTAGGGGAGACCATCGATCAGTGTTTCTCTGTCTGTCTCTCTTCCTCTCTCTCTAAAAGTAATAAACATATCCTGGGGTGAGGGTTTAGGAAAAAAAAACGTACACTTTAGAAAAAAAACCTCTGGCCCTGTTTCTGTGGGTCAGTGCTCAGTGTCCCAGCCTGCACTTCAGTGCCGACCTCTGGCCAGGCTGCACCTGGGGACCCCGCAGTCAGGGATTCGTGGCACGGATCCTGCTCCCCAAATTGGACGTCATCTCTGCCCACTGCTGCTAGATGCCACCCGGATGCAACAGCCCAGGCAATTCTGTCACCCAGAGAGCTCCACGCCTCCCTGGCCACCGAGTGAAGACCCGTCGCTGACCTGGCGCGGGTCAGACAAGGGGAGCTGCAGCCCAGAGGCGTTGGGGAAATCCCGTTCCAGGGACCAGGGCAACAGGAAGGAGCTCTGGTCTTTTCTTGTTGGAAAAAACAAAAACAAAAACGTGTTTTTAAGGCAACACCTTGTAATGGCGGTCACTGGGCAGCTGTGGTTAGGCGAGGCGTCACTTTCACTACAGAAGGGAAGACTGGGAGGTCTGGCGGAAGCACGACTGGAGGGTAGCTGGGGGGCGGACTCGCCCTCACTCTGGGGTCCTCCCAGCTCCCGGGGAGAACTGAGATGGCTTTCAGGGTCATCAGCTGGCCCTCGTGCGGGTGGTCAGGACTTCACATTGCAATGCCAGCTGCTCGTCCCACTGCAGGCCACCGTCGCCCGGAATGTCAGAGCTTTCCTTGCATGACCCCCAGCACTGTCCATGGGGTGGGAGGTGTGGTGACACCAAGAAAAGGTCGTTTTTGGAAGTAGTTGATGACAGCCACTAGAGCCACATGACCGAAGTGCATGTCTCTCTGTGTCTCTGAGCGGGTTTTAGTGTCAGAGGGCGGAACCTACCCACGGCGGCAGCGCCCCTCACGCATTACAGCCGGGGTTCAAGTGGCAATGGAGAGTGAACTTGCCTGAGAAGAAAATTTTGACTTTTGGGGTATCATTGCAACTACAGATTTTGCAGGTGCCAGTCACATTAGAATGTAGGCAATCTGTCTAGAGCGACCACAGCTCAGTATCTTTGTTCTCTGCACTTTGTCCCTGCGGCCTTTCTGTCACACCAGGATCTCAGCGTTCAGAAGCGTCCCACGCCTCCTCGAGAATGATCTCACACTATACGCATTTTTTTCAGTTTTATTTGTAGGTGTTTAGATAAAATATTAACCTCATAAATGGAAATATCTTATATTCCTATGTGATATCGAGATATTTATATATAATTCATGCATATCTTATTATTATACGTAGATACCTTTTTTTTCTTCAAAGATTTTATGTATTTATTTTTAGACAGGGGAAGGGAAGGAGAAAGAGAGAGAAACAGCAATGTGTGGTTGCCTCTCCTGCGCCCCCTGCTGGGGACCTGGCCCGCAACCCAGGCATGTGCCCTGACCGGGAATCAAACCAGCGACCCTTTGGTTCACAGCCTAGCACTCAGTCCACCGAGCCACACCAGCCAGGGCTGTACATAGATATCTTATAGGTATCTTATATATTGTGTACACATCTCCTGTTCATGACTATTTTGAGAAGAAAAAAAAAACATGTATTTGAGTAAATTCCCAGTTTTCAAAGCCCTTGCCCGACCTGCCAGCCTGCCCTCTCTGCTTTGCCCTGTGGCTGACTGGTTCCCGTCGCCCCAGGACACACGTCACGTGCTGCTCTGCTCCCCTTTTGTGCATTCCAGCCCCCACAGCTAAGGGGCTGTCCCCCCCCCCGGGGGCCGCCTGCTCCCTCTCTCGACTGCCCACCACACTCTGCAGACCGGACTTCCACAACCCGAGGGACGTCCTTCCGTCCAAACGTGGTGGTTTCTGTCTGACGCTCATCGAAACTGACGGACAGGCACACTCCAGCCTTTTGACAAACGTTGATGTTCCAATGATTAGGTGGCAGTTTGGGTGTGCAGCATCGTCGGGGAAACAAGAAAAACCGCCTCTGTGGGGGCAGGGGGCCCAGGATCCCCTTAGGTCCCCATCAGCTCCTTCTCCAGGCGCCCTGAGAAGTCGGGGAGCCATGGGGAGCCAGGCCCCACGGAGGGGCGGGAGTGGGCGTGGAAGCAGGAAGTCCCCTCGTCCCCACAGAATCAGCCTGCCATCTGACACCCTAGCCCGCGGGGGAGCCAGGACACACAGAAGCCCGAGACTCACCAGGAAACAGCTGATGTCGATGGCACGTAATGAAATGCCCGATTTTATTAACAATACAACTCCAGACAGACTTTATTGCTGAACAAGTAGTTTGAAAGGGTTTTAACATAAGTACACGGCACATAAATACATTTTTAAATAATATTGATTGAAGAAAAGAAATCTTCAAGCAAAACAGAAATGACACAGGTGCCCCTCGTACCCACCCTGAGCAGGGACTGAACCGGCAACCTTCTGGCGCACCGGGCCGCACTCCCAGCCGCCGAGCCGCCCGGCCAGGGCCCAAGACATATTTTTAAAGGGAAAGCATGATGCAGAGCATGGTTTATAGTGCGGTGCCCTTTACTTTAAACAATGCAAAGAGGTGCGTACATGTGCGTGCACAGATAAATGCACATAACATATTTTGCGTACATAGACACGTACATGGGGTGGCGCACAAGTCGGCGTACAGCCGTGCGCTCGCGAGACCCAGTCAGCCTCCTATTGTTGTTGCCTGTGAACTACGGCGTTGCTTTCTGTACAAAGCTCTGTAAGCCTCCTTTTGCCCACCTGGGTAGTTGTGTACATCTATTTCGTGTCTTCGAAAGAAAACATAACCTGGTGGTCAGCAGGGGAAGAGAAGCGAGAGGAGAAGGCAGAAGGGTTCGGGGGGCAGCACTTTGCTACCCAGAGGCATCGCGTCGCCCTTGAAGTGTGGGCCACTGGGTTAGAAGGTGGGACGTGTGGGGTGGCTTGGCACAGAGCTGGATGTCACGGAAGCAAAGAGCGTGTGACTGTACAGGGAAGGGCCATCTATCCTGAGACCGGCAGAGAGTAACGAGTAACAGAAACAAAACCCAAAGACAAATGGGAAGCGCCAGCTGAGCCGCACAGAAGGAGCTAACAGACGCCACAGCTGCGCGTCGCAGGGGAACGGGGGCTGGGACGGAGCGGCGGGGTCGGAGCCGGCGGTGAAAGGCGGCCCGGGACGGAAGAAACACATGCACGCATGCCGCTGGAAGCGTCACTGTCTGAGTGCGAAGGAGGGAGATAACAACCCCGGGCTCGCTGCGCTGCTTTGGAGCGGAATGGAGAACACACGAGACAACCGAAAAGCCCGGAACACTGCGGGAGGGAAAAAAGCCAAACTGCCCCCAAAGAGGAGGGGGGTGAAGGGGAGAGGTCAGGCAGAATGGCCGCCCGCTGCAGTGGGGTCCGCAGTCCGCGGGGCGGTATCTCCAGGGGCGGCAAGAGAAGTGACGGTCCCCCGGGCACCGTCCCCCAAAGTGCGTGTGCTCACGGCCCGTCCACGCCTCGTGCCCGGTGTGTGCCGGATGTGCGTGGGGACAGGCGCTGCCCTGCCGGTGCTGCGGGGACCCAGGCCCACCTGGGGCGCACCTGCACGTGAACGGGTGGTGACAGTCACGTCTGGGCCACGAGACACCACGCACAGGCCGAGCGAATGGGCTGGTGTCCACAGGTCCCCAGACAGACAAGGCGGGGCAAAAGCACAAACCCGTGTGGCCTCACTTACGGACTCGGATCACGCGATAAAATGTCAAAAATAAACGGCGGTGACGGTTTTCGGGTTGTAGCTGGGGTGGGAAAGAAAGACAAGGGACTGGGCTTGGGGACTGCTCTTTCGGGGCCTCCCGTTGTGTGTGTGACGTTCCATTTTTAAAAAGACCCCACAGGGACTGCTTCGTGCGCAGAGGGCTGGGTCCTGGGGCCCCCACACTCTCGGGCGTGTCTGGGAGGCGCTGAGCTGACACCACCGGCGACGTGGCCCGGACGAGAACCCCGGGTGCAGAGGTGGCCAGCGCACCCCTGACACGGCCATTGTGACGTGTCACAGAGGGGTGACGTGTCACAGGAGGGTGATGCCACAGAGGAGCCCACGCACCTGGGGACTGGCCGACTCCCCGTCTCCCCTGGAAGGAGAGGCACCCAGAGGCAAGAAGGCAGAGAACCAGCCCAGCCCCCTACGCGCCGTGTGCGGGCCCCATGAGGTGAAGACAGAGGACAAGCAGGACGGCCCCCCCTCCCGGCCCCCCGTCACCGTCTGTCGCCGGGGCATGAGTGGAAGGCCGGAGCCGCAGCAGGGCGCCCCGAGTGCCGGGGGCCCGACGGGAGAACCCGGCAGGAGCTCCAGTGTCCCCGTCCCGCACCCCGGGCGCGAGGCCCCGGCCGCCAGCAGGTGTGTGGCTCTGCAGCAGGGGCCCCGCCCGACCCGGTCTCACCTGGCGGAGCAGCCCGGCCAGAGCGCCTCTCCCCCTCAGAGACCATTTCCGGGCATTTGCTCTGGGGCCTTCCCTTGGTCACAGGACTCCGCGGCCGCCGTCTTTCCACGGCAGAGTGGCCCAAGTCCACCACAGGGGGCTGGGGACAGGGGCTGGGAGGAGAGGCCACCGTTTGAACGAATGACCTCTGGTCTTCCTCTGACGGGCTTGTTCCACTGAGCGCACCACCAGGACGAACACCACGACTCCACCTCCACG